CTCGTGCTTTTTCTGTTTGCAGTTGTCGGGAGCTTTCGCGGCAGCTTTCGTTCTTCGTGAACAGCGATTTCATTGTGTTGCGAAGTTGTTGTGCCAGTTGTCCGTCTCTGTTCGCTTGTGACGCTCGCGCGTGGATTCATTTCCATCTTCACACGCCTCTACTAAGGTATTGTTTTTCTCTCCCCCTTCCACTGATTTGTTGTGTTTTTGTATTGTGCATGTCTAATCGTACTTCTTTTATGTGTCTGTTTGTTGGCGCTGTATTGTGTGTGTATGTGTGTGGGTATATGCGTGTGTGTGTATATACGTGGGCGTGGGTGCACGTGGGTGTGTGTGCGTGGGTGTATGTGTGTCTTTGTGTGTGCCTGTGTCCGTTCGACCGTCCGTGCTTTTTTTTTTTGTCAAATATATCTTCGTTATGTATGTTTTTTTTTGTCCGTGACCTTATCCTACATGCCTCACTTTTCACACTCCCGGTGGGTTTTGCCTATTTGTTCATGCTTCAGTCATTATGTGTCTGTCTCCTGCCTTTGCCATGCATTCATGCCTGTCTCTGTGTGTCTTTATTAGGTATGTTTGCCTTCCCCGTATCTGTGGTTTTTGCTTAGACAGATCCAGTAGAAAATCATCAGCATTAAAGTTATGCTGTTTGTATTTTTGGCCATTTTTCATGCTTTATTGACATTTCTAACCCCAGTGGGAGTTTCATTTGGAAAAAAAGTATGGAAATCGTCCTTTACGCATGAAATTCCAGCTATTAGCGTCCGCTGCCATGTCTTCTACATGGAGACGTACTGAGACTTATTCGTGATGGAGGGGTTAAATACGCTGAATTCTCTGGTCACTCGTTTTTGTCCCATCCCTGGGATATCTCTGACGGAGTATTGAGTGATTTTCGCCTCTTATTAGTTTGATTTTCATAGTAACGACCTTTTCGTGACTTGCCTTCTTGCACTGGAATCTTTTGCTTTCCCCTTCTGTACCCTCCCCTCCCTCTCTGTTCCCTTTCCTTGGCTTCTTTCATGCATCAATTGTATGTTGCTGCTGTAGTGCTTCCAGGCATCTTCATCGCCTCTTGGGTCGTAATAATATCAGTTCTGGTCACATCTTTTGTTTCAGTGTTTGAAAAAGAAAATAACTGCTTACGCAGTGTGTAACAGCTGTTTTTTGGTGAGAAGAAATCGTTGATTTGCAATGGAACACTTTGGAAATCGTTCAGCAGGTCAGGGGCAACAGCATGTCTACAATGCATCAACCTACAATCTTTATCCTAATCAGCCACCGTACATTGCCGGTATGTTGGTTTATTTGATTCCGACTGGCCAATCGATTGATTAGTAATTCTGAGGAGAAGGGAGAGGGGGAGGAGGAAAAAGAAATGAAATAACAAAGCTGTGGCTGAAATACAGGTGAAATGGAATGGTACCCACTTGAAACCACAAATGCACCTCATCCCTACAGTGATCTGATTCCTGGCTATGTACGGATTAATATTAAAACTGTATGTAAGGTCGATGATCATGATCATAAGTTAGTTCTT